TTCCCCCCCCCCCCCCCCCCCCGCGACAGGGTATCTATCTTGGGTACTGTACCGCAAGAAGATGCCATTTTTCTCCAACAATAACTGAAACCTCGATCCTGATTCAGAACAGTAGGCCGAATAGATCTTTGTCACGACCGGCGTTTGACATACACATGGGATCAAACTTTCAACAACGAATTTGACGTCCTGTGGGAACAACGCTCCGTTCTCTCGGGACGCGTGGTGAATGGTCTAACCGCTAAGGCATGGAAAACATGAGGACCCCCCCCGCCCCTCCCCGCCGCAACCACGAAAGGTAGGTGGAGATATCTGGTGCGCGGCTCTGCTTCTGTCGGCGTGGCTGCTGGAAAACCCCCAACTCGTCCAGGGTACCAGAGTGCTTGAGCTCGGAAGTGGGCTCGGCTTGTGCGGCATCGTGGCGGGATACCTATCCAAGAGCGTGACCCTGACAGGTGTACCCCAGTTTCGCTGACCCGCTCGAGTGCCATCTATTTCTCGCAGGCCGCCGTTCAGAGGTTGCAGACGCCCTCCCTTGAGAGATCATTGATGAATGCCCCGGTCTTTTGGTTTCTCGCAGTATAAACAGCGGAACGGAAATGCCGTCGCGATCGCTCACACCCTCCGTTGCGTGTTGCGTGTTACTGAGTAGATAGCCCGATTTGAGGCTCTTTGGTTGAATCTTAAAAGTGGGCCTTGTTGCGGTGCATGTCCGTCTAAGGTCACAGCGGCAGATGTTTACTCGCCTTGGCCCATGAGCGCATGCGCGCATGCCTATGGCCGTGTACTCCGCCCAAGCGGTAATCATGGTTGAGGTCAGGGCTGCGCTGAAGTCGATGGTCCTAGGTGTCCGCGGCAGGGCTCTCATGTTGCAATTTGCATACAGCTGTGATAGCCTGGCCTACACCCTCGCTGCGCAGCGGCAGAACTGTTTTTCAGCGCCCACTGTATTGTCTTCAAAAATGCGTCGTTCGTGCCATAAGCGTCGACCGGTCAACGCACCTCAAATGAACAGAGTTTCCCTGTAAGAAACTACTAGCATCAGCACACCTGAGTGGTTGCGACCCCGAAAGTCGCGAGGAAACCCCAATAATGAGAAAATGGCGTTTCTTCTATTGCTCGGAATAGGACTGCAACCTCTGGGCTGCGCCCCGATAATCTGCTCTTTTAGGGCTTTCAACTCATGGTTGGTGAACTAGAAATTCACCCGCGTGTGCGCCGGTATATAAGGAAATCAAGAGGGCATGCACGTACCTCCGGCATTGACAAACTTGTCGTGAAGACTAGGTAAAAGGCAAGACATATATGGTAGCCACGACCGATACTTTTTCTGGACTTCTGACTCGCTTTATGTTTGTTTATCGCCACGGTACCGTTATTTTCTTTTAATATATTTTTGTTCCTTGGGAACGTCTCTAACTCAGACTACGTTGACGAGCTGCTAGTGAACCTGGAGCACAACGTCGACATCAACCACACGCCGCGCATCGATGCGGTCGAGTGTCGAGGAAACGGGACTAGTCTCGAACCCCCCTCTGAGTCACAAGAACGGCAGCAGCAGCAGCAGCAGCATCAACAACAAAAACAGCGAGGACGACAGCGACTAGGCCGGGAGAATGAGAGCCTCTTGGAGGTGCGACCGCTCTCGCCCTCTCGCGTTCGAGTTCGCAAGCTGGATTGGACGGCGTATGACCACGACGCCACGGAAGCATGGGAAGAAGGAGGGGAGGGGCTTCGGGGTTGGTGGTGGGATGATCCGGGCCGTGGCGGCGACCGGCCAGGTAGGGGGTGATGCCGTTTCCTTAGAAACAATGTGCGACATTCTGCCGACAATGAAGCTCCTTCAGGTCTATTTTCCTCATGCTGCGAGAGTTAACGATGTGCGATCGAGACTCCTCTTTCCTCCGAACGCTGCTGAATGTTTGCCTCCTTTCCTCGGCTCTGGCTCTCCCACGCCCTTCGCTCGAAAAGGGAAGCAGGAAGACCGTGGAGGCGCCGAAAAACGAGCAACGACGACGACGACACCATCAACACCGCAAGACGCAGGCGCAACGCTTCGCTGCGACGTGGCCATCGGCTCCGCGCTAGTCTACAGCCCGCACCATGCGTGCGTCGCAGACGTTCTGTCCCGAGCATTCGCGGCGGGCGGGTGCCGCGCTGGGTACATCCTTCAGCTCTCGACCAGGCAAGCGGGAGGCCCTCTGTGCTTAGCCTGCAGCAGGACAGTCCGCAGCAGCGGCGCCAACTGACCCCCACCCGCCACGGTTGTACGTATGTGCATGCATATGTTACGTTCTGTTGTCTGGAGGGGTTGCTGTGCGAGAGAGCGTTTTGGAGATTTTTGTGCAAGAGGCGTTTTTGAGGTTGTGCGAGAGGCATTTTGGAGGTTTTCGTGCGAGAGGCGTTTTTTTAGGTTTTTGTGCCAGAAGCAAGCGCGTTTTGCTCTTGGTGCCCTGCCCGATGATAGCGTCGGCGTTTTTCTCCTTCCTCCATGTGTCCAACTCTCGACGACCGCGCCGGTGTCTCTCTCCCTCCCCACATGGAAAATCATCGGCTGCGCGGGACGATGATCTGGTGTCCGCGCGTGCACACACACCCTCCACAGGCCCGGGTTCGACGACTTTCTGCACAGGCTGGGGTCTTGCGGCCTACGGTATCGTCTTCGGAGAATGTCCGACATCCTTCCGGGAGACCTTTTGGAAGAAATTCACCAAAGTGCTTCCATCGATATCGTTGGCGGCCCCGTGACGTCGTCTCGAACCCCTCTTTGCGTAGACGCGGCCCGAGACAGTGTCGGCGGCGGCGAGGAGGATTGTGATGGCGGTAAGGGTGTAGACGCAGGAAAGTCGCCGTCAGGGTCTGTTATTGCCGCCGCCGCCGCCGCCGCCGCCGCAGGTACTTGCACCCGCTTCGACGAGTTCGTGATGTGCGAGATCTTTCGCGCCACCGAGGAACAGCAGCGGAGGCAAAATTCATGACGTATTGTTCCATGCGTACAAAAACGAGCCGCGACTTTTTCAGCTTCTGGCCGCGGTGGTCTGGTATCCTTGAGAACCGTTGGTTGTTTTGAGGTTCAAGACAACGCAGCACCCAAAGGAAGGAACAGGCTCTGCGAGAAGACCGTAGAGGAAATGACAGCATGGTGTGCACGGTCGTTGTGGTACATACGGCTGTGCGTAGCGTTTTGATCGGCTGCTGTATCTGGCACCATGATGTATCTAGCGCTTGCGTATGGCGGCAGAGACACACGGTCGACATGTTCCGATAACACGGGAAAATTCGTCGTGTGCAGCAGCAGCTGCCGCAGCTGTTGTCCAGCTTTGTTTTTGCGCACACACAGCGGCGATGAACCGTAGACAAGGGTGCCAAGTGCCCGAGCCATTTCAGCGTCCGCCCTTTCGGACTTGAACTGAGCCTTGAGTGCTTGACTTGGCTGTTGGTGCCCAGCGCTGGTTCTGGTTCTGTTACATGTTGAGTATGTAAGCGCCCGGGCGGTCGCGAACTCCCAGGGACGAAATGAAGCCCATGAACACGTCTTCTCAAAGCACGTGCAATACTTTGGTAGGTTGGGAATCGCTATGAATGATTGTTCTTCACTGAGCGGTTTAGACGAACAACATCTGCTGCTACATCGGCCTAAGGGACGTGTGAGTCCTTGATGGGAACAGCACTTGGAACCGGGCAGTCGTACGATACACCCCCCGCCACGTCACGACCCTTTGGATACACCAAAGCAACCAAGCTCTACCTGGGGAGAGAGACGACTATCAAAAATCCTTACGTACCCGTCGCACACGCAGACGAATAAAAGCTACAACGAACGAACACACAGGGGCGTACAAAAAAACACCAACACCGAAAAACAAAGTACAGCAGCATTTGGCAGCTTGATTTTTTCGAGCCCGATCTCATAGCTAGTTACACCGCTAAGGCCACCACGACAGGTTCTGCGCCGCTTTGCTGCCCTCCACCGCCACCTTCGGCTCCGGGTCTTCAGCCGCGGTTCTTGCCGCTCCTGCGAGACCCTCCTTGTGAGGCGTCAGCGCGAGCCTCAGCTCCTTGCGGCACGTCATGGCCCCCACGACAGAAATGGCCGCCGCTCGCACCTGATTTTTTTTCCCCGGAAACCGGACCACGTTTTTATTTTTTTTTTTCATTCACGACAGCAGTTGGTGCGTGTGTTCCGCGGGATGAGTTCGTGTGCAAGAGTGAGAGAGAGTGTGTGTGGTTGCGAAGATCGAACCGTGAGAAGAGGGCACGCAGTAGGCGGGTTAGATCCAAAACGTGGGTAGTCCGTCGTACGTCCGACGCGCACGACATTTCGAGAGAACAAAAGAAAAATGGCCTAAGCTGTCACAGCAAGAGTAGTGTCACCTACAACAGGGCCGCATTTGAGGTCAAACTGGAAAAATGGCGATTGCCCTTTTCAAAGCATCTACTTGAACCTCCGCCGTGGAAACAACGCCTTCGACCGGGGGGGGGGGGGGGGGGGGGGGGGGGGGG